TTGGGCTCGCGTTGTGTTTGGACGGGCAGGTGGGGTGTTCAGGGCCCAGCTGCTGACACCTGATCCCGCCCTGGCCAGGTGGGAGGACGGAGATTGGCGGCTGGACCCTGAGATGCCCAAGATAACCAGACAAGGAGATAACCAGAGTCAATCCGAGTTGAGTTGGGTGATAGGCTGAGATGACGCACCGAGCCGCTGAGGCAGATCCTGTCTGGAGACACTCGGGCACCTTGATCGCAGGCAGGCCTGACCTGGCGGGGGGCGGGGGCGAGTGGGCACCAACCTCGGCGTTTCCGTGGCTCGGAGCTTCCGTGCCCTTCGGCTTGCTCTGCTGTAGTTTTGTTTTTGGGTCACACCTGGACGTGCTCCGGGGTCACTCTTGGCTCTGCACTCAGGACTTACTCCTGGAGGTGCTCGGGGGTCCCTATGGGATGCCGGGATTGAACCTGGGTCAGTTGTGTGCAGGGCAAATGCCCTCCCCGCTGTACTAGACTTCTGGCCCCAAGGCCCAAAACTTAAAGAAAAATCCTTGCTGGGGTTTCCCCGTTCCTGGCGTCCTGTCAGCCTCGTGGGTCTGCACACGGCTTGTGCGACTGCCTCGAGTGGCCAGTGACAAGGGCGCCCGCGTGTCCTCCTGCTCCCCAGGGCTGTTCTCTGCCCGGTGCTCCCGGCCCTGAGGCCCTCAACTCCTGCCCTGTGTTCACTCCTTCTTTCTGTGGTGTCCCCCTTCTCTCTCGGTGGCCCTCCCCCTGGGGTCACGCCCCTTTCTGCGTGGTGCAGGGATAGCAGAGCTGCCGGGTTTGTGCCGGCTTTGTGCCAGGTGCACGGTTGACCCCGGGGGCTTGCATTCAGGACCTCATGCTTGTGAGTCAGTGCTCAAAACCCCCTCTCGTACATTCCTCCCCTCCAAGCTGAAGGAACGGACTTGACCCACGTTCACGCTCACACTTCTGCTTCCTGCCGAATCACTGCCGGCCGCTAGCAGGCCAGGACCCGTGTGCCACGCCTGTGTGAAGCAGGGACATTCCAGGGCGTGAGCCTGCTAGCGTCTTTGTCATGGACACACGTGGTCCCATCACAGGATTTAGGGTCAGGGTCCAAACACAGGAGCATGGGGGTGGGGGGGTGGGGGCTTGTTCAGGCCGGAGACTCTACTAGGCTCACACACAGCATTGAGTGCTCAAGTCTCAGGGAGACAGTGAGGCTCAATCACATTTTCTTTTGCGCTGTTTTTTTCTCTTTTTTTTTTTTTTTTTTGGCTTTTTGGGTCACACTCAGTGATGCTCAGTGTTGCCTAATGACCAAGTAAAAGAATGCTTGATTTTTCATTCCCCCTTTGTCCTGCTCAAAGCTGAGCAACTTCCCAGTACAGGAGGTTTCAGTTTGGGGAAAATGCACCTTCGTAAATGATTTGTAAATGGTGTATGAGGAACAGCACAATCTTTGCAGTTATGTCAAAGCTATATCAAAGCAGGTCGTTCTGACCAATAGCATTATGCCGAAAGGGTCACCAGGTGGCTGACCAACAGTGCATGGCTCTGCTCATTGTCCCATCCACTTTTCCACGTCCCATCCCCTTTCCTTCTTTTGGGTGGGCTGTGGAAACATACTTAAGTCTGTACTTATGCTCTGAATAAACGCACGCATTCATGCCATCTCCTGAATGACGAACCCTGTGTGACTCGAGTGCTGATTTCACCCTAACGGCCCTCCCCTGGCTCTGCCCCGCAGCGACAGACGTGGCACTCAGGAATTACTCCTGGCAGTGCTCAGGACTGGTGATTGAATCTTGGTCAGCCGTGAGCAAGGCAAACCCCTCCCCACTGTGCTCTCACTCCAGCCCCTCCTTTTGCATCTTTTTGTCTTTTTTCAGAATTGATTGTTTTCCAAGTAGCGTTTGCCGGCCCTGACGTTCTCTGCAGAGTCCCTTGTTGCACACTGTGTTTCGTGGGCACCTTGACATGAAGACTTGGCGCTTGCCTTGTGCATGGCTGACCCCATAGGTCCCCTGAGCACCGCCAGGAGTGATTCCCGAGTGCAGACCCAGGAGTAACCCTGAGCACTGCCGAGTGTCCCAAAAAACAAAAGGAAAGAAAGAAAATAGGTATCCTTGCCTGGAAGGGTAGCCCAGGGCCAAGGAGCCTGCCTTGCCTGTGGCTGACCCCACCCCACCCTGTACGTCCCTTCCCACCCAGGTCCTGCCAGGATGAGCTCCCATGACTGGATCAGAGTCAGCCCTGAGCACTGTCAGATGTCCCGTCCTCAGCCCCCAGGTTAGGTCACTCCGCCCTCCCCACCTCCCCCCCATTCCCCGGTTCCCGCTCACTCATCCTCGAGGGAACCCGCACTCATTCAGCTTGTGCTCCCATCCGGAGCAGGCCAGGCCATACTCCTCTGTACAGCTCTCAGGCCTTATTGGGCTGGGCCACTCCCTGGCCACGGTGCGGCCGGTTTTGCTCACAGCACTGGGGTCACAGAGAGCAGGGCTGTCAGGGTCGGGCTCAGGGCCTCTGCCCTGTCGCTCTGCCCCCCCGCCCCCGCCTCCCGGCTCACAGATTTCCTGGCCCGGCTCCTGAGGAGGGCCCTGGGCAGGGTCACTGGGTCCAGGTCCCACGTGGGGGATGCTGAATGACGTCAGTTGGAGATCTGTAACTGAGAAACATTTGTCAAAAGTTTTCTGAAACCACTTTCACAGGGCCCGGGGATCCAGACCTGGGCCCCGCAGGGACCAGAGGCTCGTTGTCCATGTAGTGCTGACGTCTGCAGGGCAGCCCTCCAGAGTCTCAGCCAAACACTGACATCACGAAGGGTGGCGCCTGCCCCTTTAAGAATGGCCCATGATGCCCTCCTCCTTGCTGAATTCTAGTACTACCTCAGAAAATTCTAGACTCCAACTGCCATTTTCAGTCTCTCCACGAGACTGGCACGAGCCTGTTTGGCAGAGCTCAGTACTGAAGCTGCGAGTGCAGTGTGACACAGGTGAATCTGAGTCTCTGGGCTTTCTGCCCGCGTGCGGACGGCTTTTTTCTCTAACAGTTCTTTAGTGTATGATAGTTTTTAATCTTTAGTTAGTTTAAGTTTTTTTACTAGTTACATATATGTTTTTGGGTGGGGTGGGGGCGGGGTGGGGTGGGGTGGCCATACCTGGCTGTGCCCAGGGGTGACCTGGCCGGCTAACGTCCCTGTGCTGACGGAGATCGAGCCCAGGACAACTGGATATAAGGCAAGTGCCCTCCCCACTGTCCTGCCTCTCTGCCCCTTGTGGACTTCTCTATTGAAATATGGAATGACTCTGAAGTCAGTGGGCCCTCATGGGGGGCTGATGAGAAGCACAGGAGAAGATATCACTCCCCCGGGACTGGCTGGAGCGCTGGCACTGCTGAGTGCAATGAGCCCCGCCAGCCCCATGACGCCCACTAGGCCTTCCCGGGGTCTTGGGCCGGAGTGAGGGGTTGCCCTTTTCAGGGAAAGGGAGTCGTCCTCGACCTCCTCAGGCCCCCGGGCCTTTGTCCTCCTCGCAAAAAAGCATTTCAGGAGATGAGCATGAAGCAGAAACATTTTATTTGGAGGCCTTTAGGAAGGGGAAGAAGGGAGGGAGTAACACGCTCGAGAGAGAGTGCGGCATCTCCAGAGGTGCAGAAAGCCACTGAACATGTTATGTTGCTAGGTTGCATTCGGTCTGAAAGTCCACACCTCAGGAGGGGAGAAGCCCGTGACATGATGGACCTCATAGGCAAGAGCAGTACCTGGGCTCGGGCACACATGAGCGCCCTCCCTTGGTTCAAGGTGGCTAATCTAGGGATTTCCGCAGGCTGCCCCTGGTGGGAGTTTCTAGCTACCTAGAGTCCGTTGCTAGGGTGGTTGCCAAGGGGGTAGAGTTGAGTGGTCCATGGTCCTCTTAGAAATTCCTTTCCTGCCCTTTGTTCCTATTCCCTCGGGGGGTTCAGCCTGCTCTGGGCCTCATAATGTGGGTTAATTTTGACAAGACCTTGAGTCCCGTGCACTCAGGTAGTCTTTTGGTGGCCATGAAGCTTTTGTTGACTTTCTCGGAGTTCCATCGCCATGGGGACGCTTCCCCCATCTACCTGTCTGCCTCAGTTCTGTGGGTTAAGAAATGGAGTTAATACTGGCTTGTGGTTATCCAACCTGGGCAGCGTCACAAGGAATGAAGGAAATGCCGAAAACTCCTTCGCTCCACTTTGGCACAATATTTTTTTTCTTTTTGGGTCACACCTGGTGATGCACAGTGTTTACTCCTGGGTCTGTACTCAGGAATCACTCCTGGCAGTGCTTAGAGGACCATATGGGATGCTGGGAATCGAACCTGGGTCGGTCGCGTGCAAGGCAAATGCCCTTCCCAGTGTGCTATCGCTCTCCAGCCCCCCTTTGGCGCAGTCTTGCTGGGCCCTTTTCCCTGGCAGTTCTCAGCCCATAGAAAAAAGTGTGCCTGTTGCTTGCCTTAGCTTCTACGTGTAACCCCGGGCCTCTCACACATGTACATACGCACACACGCACACACAAGACCAGCCATCACTGCTGAGTCGCCTGCCGGCTCGTCAGTGTCTGGACGGGGAGGTGGTCAGTGACACTCGCGGTGCTCAGGGATGATTTCTGGGTCCTGAATGTGTTTGATGTTGGGAGTGATGGCAGGGAGGGCGCGAGGGTCAGCTGCCCGCAGGGCTAGTACCTGTCCCCTCTGCTCTCTGGCCCCGAATCGGCAGTTGTTTGTTTGTCTGTTTTGGATTGAGTTTTTGCGCAGGAATGACACTTGGTGGGCTCAGGGGGCTGTGCGGGAGACTGGGGGTCGCACTCGGGGTGGCGAGTGCCAGACTGGCAGCTCTCTGGGCTCTGGAAGCTGCTGTGGTTGCTGGCCTGAGACAGACTCTCTCCTCTGCTCTTCAGAGATTTAGTCCTGAGAACGAGTGTGCCTCAGAAGGCCCCACAGTGGGCTCGATGGTCGGGGCCTGGTAGTGGCCGCGGCAGCGTCTGACCGCCTGACCATGAGTCTGCTGAGGCCTAGCGGGCTGAAGGCCCCCACCAAGTTCCTCAAGCATGGGAGCTGGGCCCTGAAGACACCCTCGGCCGGTAAGTGCGCTCAGCCCAGGCCAACGGAGACTCATTCCCACCCGGGAGCCCCATCCCGAGTCCTCGCCCGGGAAGGGCTCCCTGAGCTGTAGACACGTCCGTGGCTCTGGGGACAGCTCTCACACCCGAGTGTCACGTTCTGTGAGTTTAGTGTCACGGCAACCGGTGACAGCTGAGGCGACCAACCCGCTCCCTTCTAACTGCTAGCTCCCTTGCCCAGGCTTGGGGACAGGCTTAGGGAGGTGGACTCACCTGGACTAGAGGGCCTCATTGCCGGCCAAAGCCACAGTACAGTGGGGAGGGCAACTGGCACCCCATGTGACTCTCCACCCTCAACCTCACCATGAGTAACCCTGAGCGGAGAACCAGAAATAGGCCCTGAGCATTGGCTGGGTTGCTCCCCGCCCAAAAGAAAAAGAAGATGGGCCAGTGGACCCACCAGAAATAAGACACTGGGTTCGAGCTTTCACCTGGCTTGGTCCGTAGTATCACGGGGTGTATCCAAAGATTTCCCCTGAGCTGCCCAAAGTATGACTGCGGCCTGGGATGCAGGGGTAGGTGAGCACGTCCGCTTCACGGCTGGCCCGGCCAGGCTTCGCCACAAGCAGCCCCCGTCATTGGCTGGGAGTAGCCACGAGCACTGCTGGGTGTCCCTCTCCCCCAACCACACTTTAACTGGACCTGCACAGGCCCTTCCTGTCCCTTCTGACCCTTTTGACCCTTTCTGCTCTTCTAGCGGCTGCTCCCGTTGAGAAGACCGTGCCTGGGGAGAAAAACCCCAGCGCCCCCTCCTCGGAGATGCAGGAGGAGTTTGTGGGCGACTTCCAGGTCGGGGAACGAGTCTGGGTGAACGGGAACAAGCCTGGATTCATCCAGTTCCTCGGGGAGACCCAGTTTGCCCCTGGTCAGTGGGCCGGGATCGTCTTGGACGAGCCCATCGGCAAGAACGACGGCTCGGTGGCGGGTGTGCGCTACTTCCAGTGCGAGCCGCTGAAGGGCATCTTCACCCGGCCGTCCAAGCTGAGTAGGAGCTTTCAGGCCGACGATGAGACCAACTGCCGGCAGCCAGCGCCTGCCGCCTGGGCCACACCGCCCCTGTCGGCCTCCCCGGCCCTTGCCGGCACCGTGAAGGTGCCCCAGTCCCCCGCGAAGGAGGCACCGGCCACCCCTCACATCAGCAGCCTGACCAGGACGGCCAGCGAGTCCATCTCCAACCTCTCTGAGGCCGGCTCCCTCAAGAAAGGGGAGCGGGAGCTGAAGCTCGAGGACCAGGTGGTGGTGAGTGCCGAGGGCAGTGGTCGCGGGTGGCTGTCCATTCGCCTGTCTGGTTCATCAGCTCCTCCAGACTCGCGGTTTGGGTGGAAGCACGAGCAGCCGGGACGCCTGGTCCTGCAGTTTCCAGCGTGATGGATGCGTGCGGGGATGCTGCCAGTTTTACCAGTTTAGCCAAAACAGGGTGGAGGGGTCATGCCGTGGGGAGGGGTCATGCTTTGCACGCCTCTGACCCGGGGTTTAAGTCTTGGTCCCATGTACAGTCCCCCAAGCACATCCCGGAGTGATCCCTGAGCACCAAGCCAAGAGTAAGCCCTGAGCACTCTGAATGTGACTCAAAAACAAACCAATGAACAAAGTTGGAAATCGGTTCTGTTTCTCTGGTTTTCGATGTTTTTGCTTGGGGCGTCACAGGGTGGTCGCACACAAAGCACCCTTCCCCCGGTGCTCCAGCCCTGTTTGTCAGCATTCCTGTCAGTGTCCAGCGCTGTGATTCTGTTTTGCTCTGTGTCCCGGGAGCCAAGCGTCAAGCCAAGGCATAGTGAAGGAGAACTGGAAGATCGAAGTCTGCTAAGATACGAGAACAGTCATTTTCCTTTAGCTGGTTTCTGGCTTAATTGTTCTCCAGCGGTGGGGTTGCCAGTGCTCCGCTCCCACACCCAAGAGGCAGCGACCCCCTCGCCACACCAGGTGGCTGGCCTGGGTCAGAGATTCCCGGGGGTGTGGTCAGCCAGGCCACCGGTGACAGCGAGTGGGTGTGAATGCCGCTGCCTTGCATGGACACTGAGCAGGAGCGTCTGCTCACCCTGTAGGGGTTGCGGGGGGAAATGGCACTTTGACCTTTGGGGTTTCTTAAGGAAATCCCGACTCTGAAGCCAGAATGTTCCTTTGCGGGGGTGGGGGCGCTGTGCGCAGTCCAGGGTGCCTGACCCATGTCCCTCCATCCCTCCGGCAGGTGGGAGGCATGGAGGCCAGTGTGGTGCGCTTCCTCGGGGAGACGGACTTCGCCAAGGGGGATTGGTGCGGCGTAGAGCTGGACAAGCCACTGGGCAAGAACGATGGTGCCGTGGCCGGAACGAGGCGGGTCCCCCTGCCCCCCCAGACAGCCTGGGGCCATGCACGGTGCCTGGGAGGCGCTGAGGGGACTGCAGGCCACTTCACTTGGTTCTTAGGCGGGGCCACTTCTGGTGGCGCTCGGGGACCCTGCAGGGATGTGGGTACAGCCTGGGGCCCCCATATGCAGCTGTGCTCGGGCCGCAGGAACCCCCCGGGCCTGCTGTCGCCCTTCAGATGCCGGGGAGGCTGCTTGGAATCGCCCTTGGTTTGCGTGGTGGGGGTGGGCGGCGTGCGAGCGAGTGTGGGTGTGAATGTATGAGGGAGTGTGTATGTGAGCGTGTGAGTGTGGGGCTGTGAGAGTGTTGGTGGGGGCGTGGGCATGAGAGTGTTGGTGGGGGTGTGAGCGTGTTTGTGGGGGAATGAGAGCGTGTCAGTGTTGGTTTGAGAGCGTGCAAGTGTTGGTTGGGGTGTGCGTGTGTGTTACTGTGGGGCTGTGGGTGTGTGGAAGTGTTGGTTGGGGTTGGAGTGTCGGTGGGTGTGGGAGTGTCGGTGGGGTGTGAGTGTGAGTGTGTGTTGGTTTGGGTGTGAGTATGTGTGTTTCTGGGGAGTGAGTGTGTGTGAGTGTGGGGCTGTGGACATGTGGGAGTGTCTGTTGGGGTGTGAGTGTGTGTGTTTGATGGGGTGGGAGTGTGAGAGTATGGGAGTGTTGGTTGGGGTGTGAGTGTGTTTGTTGGGCTGTGAGAGTGTGGAAGTGTGGGAGTATTGGTTGGGGTGTGAGTGTAAGTGTGTGTTGGTTGTGGTGTTTATGTGTGGGAGTGTTGGTTGGGGTGTGTGTGTGTTTGTTAGGTTGTGAGTGTGTGTGAGTGTGGGCTGGTGGAGGGTATGATGTTTGTTGGGGAGTGAGTGTGAGTGTGGCGCTGTGAAAATGTGGGAGTGTTGGTTGGGGTGTGAGTGTGAGTGTGTTTGTTGGGGTGGGAGTGTGAGAGTGTGGGAGTGTTGTTTGGGGTGCGTGTGTGAGTGTGTTTGTTGGGGTGTGAGTGTGTGACTGTGGGGCATGTGGGGCTGTGGGAGCGTGTTCGTTTGTGGGGGTGTGAGACTCTGGGACTCAGTGGACTTCTAGGTCGGCGCTTGTGTCTCTTGCCAAAGGTGTTTTTGTCCCCCCCTCCTCGTTGTCCGCAGGTACTTCCAGTGTCAGCCCAAGTATGGCTTGTTTGCTCCCATTCACAAAGTCACCAAGATCGGCTTCCCGTCCACGACGCCGGCCAAGGGCAAGGTGGCCGCCGTGAGGCGTGTGATGGCCACCACCCCCGCCAGCCTGAAGCGCAGCCCTTCGGCCTCCTCGTTCAGCTCTGTCAGCTCCGGGGCCTCATTCGAGAGCAGCAGATCCGGCCGCACGGGACTAGTAAGCAGCCCCCCACCACTGCGGGGTGCTCGGGCCCCCACAGACTCCCACAGCCCCAGGGGCGAGAGGCGGAGCAGGAGCACGTGGGCTGAGCAGCTCCGGGTGGCAGGCGAGTGACTTCCCAGCCACCACCAGTGACAGGAGCAGGGATGGGCCTTTCCTGGGGTGCTCAGGGCTCCTCTCTGGTCTCAGGCCACCTTAGGGATGAAGTGGGGTAGCTGAAGGGGGCGCCTGAGGGTCAGAGCAGGGCCCAGAGACTCTGGGGAACGCTTGGCCCTTCATCTTGCTTCTTTGCTCTCTCCGTCTCTCCCTGCTCCCTCCTGTCCCTCTGCACCGCTGTCCACATGCAGAGTGGCCTCGACTTCTGTCCATTGCGGTGCCGCAATTCAAAGCTGGGGCCTCGTGGCTTCTCCCCTCACGTCTATCTGAGTCATAAACACTAAAGTGTGTCTGAATATGCAAGGGTGCCCTGAGATATTGTCCACAGGGAAACGGGCCCACGATGGAGAGGGTGTCCTGGGGGGCTGGCTTTGCTGGGGGCTGCGCTTCCTGCCGCCGCCTCTGCTCCGTGCATTGACCCTCGATGCGGAAGAGGAGGGAGTGAGTGTGTGTGCAACGGAAGATACAAAACAGATGACACGGGAACGGGAGCCAGGAGGCCACGCGCCGTGGGCACAGGCCTGGGGCCAGTCCTGTCTTGCTCGACCACCACCAGGTTTCCCTGCCCCACCTGTATCCTCACGTCCGACTCCTCCTTCCCTTCGCCTCACCATTTAGGAGGAGAGCAGACTCAGAAGCCCCTCTCCTTCCCTCGTGAACCAGCCCATTTGTGGAATTTGGTTTTGTTTTTCTGCTTGACTGTGGGCCATACCCTACAGTGCTTCAAGGGGCCCTTTGCAGTGCTGGGGTTGTGCCGGGGCCTCCCACCTCCAAGCAAGAGCCCTACGCCTGAGACGTATCTCCAGCCTCCCCCCGCTATCTTGTTTTGTTCTGTTTTGGGGTCACACTTGGCAGAGCTCAGGGCTTTCTCCCACCTCTGTGCTCGGGATTATTCCTGGCGGGCTCCGGGATTGAGCCTGGGCAGCGCTGGGGCTTCGCTCTCCAGCTCTTTGGCCCCTGCCTTGCATATCTTTATGCAGGGTGGAGCTCACTCCTAATCTGAACATCACCTTTAGCGTCTATGACAGGAACATAGAAAGATTCTGTGTGACTTCACGGAAGTATACCTCGACAACATAATTCCATAAGTGCACACACAAGCGTTCATACACACAGTCACTCATACATGTACACGTAGTGCATACCGTATATACACAGGCTTATGGGTATACACACAGGCACATACATGCATAAACACAACGCGCGCATGCACACAGGTGCGTGTAGATATGCCCACCGGAACATACATGCACGCATACATACATGCACACGGGTCCGTGCGTGCCCTGTGGAGGCCTCCCTGTTCGTCTGTTGGCTGAGTTGCTCTTCTGAGGTACCAGGCTCCCACAGAAGGCCTGGCCTTGCTAGGATGGAGCCTGGGGCCTCACAAACCACGCGCAGGGCAGAGGCTTTGGCATCAGCATCCTGAGTTCAGCTCGTGGCCCCGACCTTGCCCAGCCCCTCAGCACGCGCCTCCCCCCATGCTAGGGGTGCTGCTTTCTCCCTGCTCCGGCACCTGAACCTCACAGTCTCGTCTCCATAGTTGGCTGAAAGAAGCCCATCGCTCCTGTGCTGGTTTCCTCAGGGAGCTGTCTCGGGCCCAGGAAGCGCGTGCGTCTGGCCTGCCCTACCCGCTCAGGCCAGGAGGCTCAGGGAACACCGCCAACCGCCTTTCTTAGTTTTTATTTTTGCTCTTTGGGGTTCACCTGGCAGTGCTCAGGGACTCCAGGCGTGGTGCTTGGGGGCTACTCCCGGTGGCGGGGGGTTGAGCCCGGGTCTTGGTGTTAGACCCCCAAGGCTGGCAAGCTCTTCCCAGCCACCCCTTGAAATCCGAGTTGACTGCAGTTCCCGGGAGCACTGCACATGGCTGGCCCGAGAGCTCGTGTGCTCCTAGAAATTTTAGTTATTATTTGGTTTTGGGGCCACACCCAGGGGTGCTCAGGGCTTATTCCTGGCTCTCTGCTTGGGGGGTGGGGTCACTCCTGATGGTGCTGGATCTTGAACCTCTGCAAGCACCTTCCCCCACCCCCTCCAACAGACTCTTTGGCCCTGGGGAGGGCATGTAATCGGACCAGATATACTTTAAGTGTATCGGGAAATCACGGCCAGGTCCTTACGCACAGGCAAGGATGATCCCGCTCTCCGGACAGAACCAGGTGGCTCGAGAGCTCCCAGCAGGCAAAGCAGCAGTGGACAGCCTGGGCCCTGCTGGGCCCGTCGGTCAGGAGGCGTTTGGCAGCAGCTCAGATGATGCGGGGAAGCGGCAAGAGAACCTGCGGCTGGACCGCAGCAGGGCGATGGAACAGGGATGGCCGGGCAGAAGGAGCGGAAGTCCTGGCCATCGCCGCTGCAGCCCCCGCCACCATGTGCCCGAAGAATGAAGATCAGGTCCCGCCTTGTCCCCTCCTGCAGGGGCCGTTGTGCAGAGAGGGATCTGGGTCTGCAGAGCGACCATGAGCGACCACGAGCCCAGGATAGAACGGACAGGACCCCCGGTCCCCGCAGCCCTTCAGCCCACTCCCCTCCCCTCCTCACTGTCTTTGCCTCTTCTCTCCTTCCCTTTGTGCTTGGTCTTTCCCTGAGCTGCCCTTGCTGTCCTGCTCGCTGGGCGTGAGCCCTCACACATTCTCACCCACCACTTTTTCCTTATTTTTCCCCTGGACTTTGGCCATGCCCCAGCAATACTCAGGACTTACTCTGGACTCTGCACTCAGGAGTCACTCCTGGTGGGCTCGGGACCCTCTGGGGTGGGTACCTGTTATCCAGCTCGGGTCAGCGGCGTGCAACGCCAGCGCCTTTCCCGCAACTTTATCATTTAGCCTCTCATCTCCCATTTTCGAAGGCAGATGGCACAGGGGTCTTTTATAGGGTCACACCCAGTGACCCGCGGGGGCACGGGGCCATTCCCAGAGACAAGAGTCTCTGGTTACTGCTATTCAGGCATGGGGGGGGTGCCCGGGAGAGCGAGGTGAGCTGGAAGGAAGAGGAAGAGATAAGGGACAGGCTGCCCAGGGAGACCCTGACGGACCTGCAAGGCTGAAGATGCTGGAGCCGGCCTCAAGCTCAAGCCAAGGGCTCAGCCTTAAGGAAGCTCAGGCCAGAGCGGGCTGTGGAGGGGGCTGCCTCCGGCTCTGCAGAAGAGTCTCTGGATTCCCACGAGGCCCGAGATCAGTGGAGCCCAGGTCCCGTCCAAGGATCTTCGGGAAGGTTTCATGACGTTTCTGCTGAGAGTCGCTGGCCCATATGCAAGGATGCAGCACTGCTCCATGTGCTTTGCCGAGGATCACGGCGAGCATGCCCGTGTCGGCCGGCCCCATCCCCTTCACGTCTCTTTTTCCTTTGCAGTTGCTGGAAACCTCCTCCCGCTACGCCCACAGATCTCTGGCACCACCGCCCTCCAGGAGGCGCTGAAGGAGAAGCAGCAGCACATTGAGAAGCTGCTGGCCGAGCGGGACCTAGAGCGGGCGGAGGTGGCCAAGGCCACGAGCCACATGGGGGAGATAGAGCAGGAGCTGGCCCTGGCCGGAACGGGCACGACCAGGTGACGTCTGTGCAGACGGCAGTGCCGGGGCCGAGAGACGCCTGCGGTAGAGGCTGGGCGCGAGCTTGGTGCAGGCGGTGCAGGCAGAGGCCGTGGGTCCCCGTCTGCCGTCGTTGCGGTGGCGTCCGGCGCGTGGTTTGATCGCATGCCCCTTCTGCTCGCCCTGTGGGGGTTTAGGGAGTGCCGAGTTGTCCACGCCGGTGCTTTGTGGTGTGGTTCCCCTCTGGCCTTCCAGAAATGCCGTAGCTTAGGTGGGAGATGCATTCAGCTTGCCGTGGTGACAGGTGGCAATGCCAGCCCACAGAGGGCTGTTGGGGGCGGGCGAGGCCACTCACGCGCCGTTGCCTCTACAGCACGTCCTGGAGCTGGAGGCCAAGAACGACGAGCTGCGGGCCATGCTGGAAGCGACCGACTGGGAGAAGGTGGAGCTGCTGAACCAGCTGGAGGAGGAGAAGAGGTGAGGCCGTGCCCGGAGCTGGGGGCTCCCTCGGGTGGGGCACTCCTGGCCTTCCAGGGCTGTGAGAACCAGAAACCAACGGGTGCCCAGTCCTGAGCGCGGCCTCACCGGGAGGGCTGGGGGGGAGCTCATTGGAGCCCAGCCACCCCCGGCCCTCCCTGCTGTGTCCACCTGGCCTGGTATTCAGGAGGCCTGTGCTGGGTGGCAAGGAACTGTCCTAACCCAGTGGGGCCCTGTGGGAGTCCCTGTGGTTAAGTCCCAGGCGGGAGGAAACCCACAGTACTCATGGGGCACGACAGCAGACAGACAGGGCTCAGGCTAGGCTGCAGACAGACGGACGTGGTGCTCAGGCCGGGGTGCAGACAGACAGACATGGGGCTCAGGCCAGGCTGCAGACAGACGGACGCGGTGCTGAGGCCTGGCTCCAGACAGATGGACACGGGGTGCTGGCCGAGACCGCCTTTTCAGATGGGCTCCCGGCAGTGTGGTGCCCAGGGGCACTGCCAGTGCCTGGCTCAGCCCCTCAGCTCCACATGCCGACTTGACAGTCACTGGGAGCCCCTCCCCTCCCCGCCCCCGAGTCGTTGGCTGCTTCTCCCCCAGGGGCTCAGTTGTCCCAATGTGGGGACAGGCGCTGGCTGGGAGGGACTGGCAGGCGCCGCGGGTCAGTTTTTAACCACCTCTGTTAGCTGCGAGGCAGAAAGGGTTGATATGACACTGTACCTGGCGTTGGCTCGGCCTAGCTTCCTCCTGTAGCCTGCGGGTCCCACCCAGTGCTCGAAGGTGAGGGGGACTCGCTGACTTTCTTTTTTTTCTTTTTGGGTCAACCCAGCGATGCTCAGGGGTTACTCCTGCCTCGGCACTCAGGAATTACTCCAGGCATTGCTCCGGGGTCCATAGTGGTATGCTGGGAATTGAACCCGGGTCGGCCACGTGCAAGACAAACGCCCTGCTTGCTTTACTCTAGCTCTGGCCCTCCCCGACTCTCTCAGCCCTCCTGTGTGTGGAGCCGGGGGCTGGGTCAGGCGCATCTACAAGATGGTGGCCCTCATGGGGGGCAGCAGTGACGCCCCTCACAACGTCTCCCTCTCCCCCACAGGAAAGTGGAAGACCTCCAGTTCCGAGTCGAGGAGGAGTCCATCACCAAAGGCGACCTGGAGGTAAAGCCCGGGCAGGTCCCGGAGGCTTGCAGTGCGCAGGCAAGGATGCGGGGCGGCCTGGCCGACCCCGCCGGGACCACTTCTGCTGGAGACTCCGAATCAGACAGGGATACCTGGGGTCATGCACCTGGCAGGGCCTGGCTGACACATCTCTGCTCCTTGGGGCTGGAGGCTGCTCTTGATGAGCGTTTTTCTCTCGTTCTGACAGTTGGGTCTATGCCTTTCCCTCAGCTTTGATTTTCAGTCGACCAACACATATCAAATCCTTTAGAACCCCATTTTTTGGAAGCTTTTCCTTAAAACAAGAAGAAGCAAAGAGTCAGTTTGGAAAAGAAAAATTTCTATTTCTGCTTCTTTTCCTTCCTGTTTTAAGTTCATGGAAATTTTGTTTTCCCACCAGAAGGAGGTGAAGTCCCTGCAGGTGGCCTCTGAGAAGCTCGCCAAGGAGAACGAGTGCCTGAGGACCAAGCTGGACCATGCCAACAAGGAGAACGCGGACGTGATCGCCCTGAGGAAGTCCAAGCTGGAGACGGCCATCGCCCCGCACCAACAGGCCATGGGCGAGCCGAAGGCATCCGTGAGCCAGGGCGTGGGTGCCGAGGCGGCCGAGCTGGCCGAGCTCAAGATGCAGATCGAGAGGCTACAGTTCGAGTACCAGCAGGAGGTGGAGAGCCTGAAGGCCCAGCAGGCGGCTGAGCGTGCAGCGCACGCCTCCGAGCTGCAGACGCTCAGGTCGCGGCTGTTCAGGACGGCCCAGGAGCAGAAGAACAGCCTGGAGGCCGTACGGGCCAAGCTCGAGCAGATCGAGGACCAGCACCTGGTGGAGATGGAGGACGCCCTGAACAAGCTGCAGGAGGCGGAGACGAAGGTAAAGCACCTGGACGGGTTGCGGGCCGTGTGTAGTCAGCAAGCCCAGGCCCTGGCCAATGCCACGGCACAGCTGGAGGCCAGCCAGCAGAAGCTCTTGCAGCTCGATGGGCTCTGGAAGGCCAGTTCCAAAGGTCAATTGGGAATGGAGAAGCTCAGGCAGCAGCTCCAGGTGGCTGAGCGGCAGATTCAGGAGTTAGAGAATGCAAAGCGGGCCGAGAGCTGCAGGTTGGTATTCGGGCGCCCTTGCCCACTTCCACGCTCGCTCCCTGCATGCTGTGTGTCAGTCTGCTCGCCGCCGTGTTCCGGCTTGGTGCTGACAGGTCTCCCGGTCACGTCCTGTGCGGTTCCCTCTGAGGGGACTGAGAAGGAGTCGGCATGATTCGGGGGTTGTCATTGGTCCCCAGCACCTGGATGCCATGCTAGCCTTGGCCCCGGCTAATCGGGCCCATCTGGGGTCTTTCTGAAACAGAGAATTCTTCACGAGGCCAGTGAGAAAACAAGATAGGAGCGCCCAGAGCAAACCTCTGCCCCCCACCTCTTGGGCTCGCTGCATACTCGCCGAGTCCGCCCAGACACTTGGGCTCGAGTCAGGCCATGAGGGTCTTTCTCTGACCTTGCTGACCACCTGCTCTTGTGACGGGCTTTGCCCTCCTCTCCCCGAGGCGCCTCAGTTCCCAGCTGGTGCTCGATGCCTCTGAGCCTCTGAGCTCCCTCAAGGCTGGTGACGTGGCCCATCTTGGTATTTCTCATTGCCAGCCCCTCCGTCCCTGCAGCACAAGCCCCCGGCCAGCCCTGCAGAGATTTCATCCCTTTCAGCCTCTAACAGGTGCTTGGGCCAAGTCCGCCTTCCAGCATGGCCCCCTGCTGGCCACAGGCATGGACTCTCATGGTAGCCCTGACTCTGGGGAAGGACGAGACAGTGAGATCTGGGCCAAGCCGAGGAAGCTGCAGTTCTCACCAAGGAGCCCCGAGAGATGCCCTTTTCCTCCTATAGGATTGTGGTGGCAGGGACGTGCCCTCACCCCCCCCCCCCCCGCTCCCCCCCGCGCTGGGCACTTTGTTGGAGAAACTTCTCTGTTGGCCAAGATGGAAGGGCTGTGGGTTTTGTAGACAGGACTGACAGACATAACAGAAGGGCCCCGAGATCCCTGGGAGTTCCCTTCAGGACTCAGGACTCCTTGGCTGGCATTCCAGAAACACCGGCTGAAACAAATGGAATCAATTCCTAGGACAGAGCAGGGGATAGCTGACCCACTTGTTCGCATCAAGATGTAACAAACGTCAAGTTCGGGTGACTGCTGTCTAGGGGATTAGAGGTTCCTCATTTTAAATTTCATATTGAAACCCCTCAAACTTTTAAAGTCACAGAAAAGAAACTACAAGAAAGTAAATCTTGGGGGCCAGAGTGATAGTACAGTGGGAAGGGCATTTGCCTTGCACGCGGCCCACGTGGGTTCGATCTCCATCATCCCATAGGGTCACTGTCATTGTCTCTACCCTCCCGTTGTTTATCGATTAGCTCGAGCGGACCCAGTAATGTCTCCATTGTGACACTTGTTACTGTGTTTGTCATATCGAATACATCACGGGGAGCTTGGCAGGCTTGCTGTGCAGGCGAGATACTCTCGGTGAGCTGGCCGGGTTACTGCCAAGGAGAAATTCCTGAGCATTTAGGGTGACCGAAAAAGCCAAAAGGAAAAAAAAAGATAACCTTTTATTCCCTCCCTCCCCTCCCTTTTCCTTTCTTCCCTGTTTCCTCCCTCCCTCCTTCCTATCCTTAGCTTCCCTCCTCCCTTGCTTACTTCCTTCTTCCTCGCCAAGCCATGCTCTGGGCTCTGGGGTCCTCCCGCCCAGCAGTAGTGGGGCTTTTCAGCTTGGGGACCGATCTCAGTCTCGCCCAGTGGTGCTGCAGTTCCAACTCGGGCCTGGTGTGTACTCCAGCCCTTTGTGCCGTCACCCCGCCCCTGGAAAGTCAGTCTTTCTCATAGGCTTTCTTATTTTCTGGTCACGCCAAAGTTAGGTCTAGAAAACGCCTCTGTTTGGGCTGTTTCAATAACCACTAGACAGTCATCACCAGAACTGCCGGCGCCAAGGCCTTGGCTTCACGAGCTTCAGGCAATCACACTCACCTCACGCCTCTGTTCTTCGGGGTTGTGTTGGGTCATGGGCTTCTCATACGTGTTTTCTGTTTTGTTTTCCCCTTCCCGTTCCTGTTTGTCTCCTTGGTCCATTCACTCCATCCTTGTGACTCTGGTAGGCCGATAGCCTGGCCGAAGAGCTGCAGGGGAAGGGGCTAGTGCTTCGTAGTCTTCAGGAGAACTTGAACGAAAGCGGCCGAGCTGAGGGGCCGTGTGTGCGCGCGTGTGTGTGCATGTGTGTTTGTGTGTGCATGCTGGTGAGCAGAGCAGAGGGGCCGTGTGTGTGCGTGTGTGTATGTTTGTGTGTTTGCGTTGTGTGTGTGTGTGTTCGTGTTTGTTCGTGTGTGTGCGTGTGTGCTGGGAGAGGGCAGGGGGCCGGCGGCTGACGGTGGCCCCCGGCTCCCCGCAGGAGGAGAAGGTGGACGTGAGCCGCAGCCAGTGCCAGGCTCTACAGGCCGAGCACGCCAAGGCCAGCGTGGAGATCCAGGGGCAGCACGAGGAGGCGCCGCAGGCCCTTCAGCAGCTGCTGCTGCAGGCGAAGGAGAAGCTGCAGGCGGTGCAGGCGGAGAACGGGAGCCTGCTGCGGGAGGTGGCCGAGCTGAAGATGCAAGCCGACAAGGCCAAGGTGGGTGGGCGCAGGGCAGCGCCGCGGCTGATGGCGGCCGTGGCCCGTGTGTGTGTTGGTGCCCGGCCGCTTTCCACCACGCACCGCAGCCAGGGCTACGTCTCCTCTCTGGACCACCTGCTGGCCCAGTTGTGTGGCCAGCAGCCTCGTGTGCATGCTCAGGTCAGTCCCATTCCGGTAACATGGCCGCCAGCGGTCAGCTGCCCAGCACACACCAGTAGCCTGCTGCGGCTCATGGCTGCTAAGCTGGACAGAGAAGATAGCCCTTGCTGCAGAAAGTTCTGGAAAGTACATGGCGGTTCAACTGTGGTGTGCATTGAGACTCAGAAATGAAAACGCACAACCCGTTGCTGACGGGCAGGGAGAGCAGGTGAGGGAGACCCTGACCCGTGTGCGGCCAGTCCTCCTGGAGCCACTGGGCCCCTCCAAATGACTGCAAACACTGCCCTCCCATTGTTCATCGATTTGCTCTAGCGGGCCCACTAATGTCTCCATTTTGAGACTTGTTACTGTGTTTGGCAAGCAAAAACTGTTGGCTTCAGTCTCCAAAGCTTGGTGGATTCGTCTGGATTTTCTATAAAGTGTATAACTTTTGGGACTAAGTCCATTTCCTGCCTCTGTTTGTCCCTGTGAAAACCATTTGACAAGCAATGGTTGCTTTTCCCTTCCCCTCCTGCACAAAGTTCCAAAACAAAATACTTTTTGTAGTTCTTTGAATTGTATTGAAAACTAGTTTTTGAATGCATCCCTTCTAGGACAGAGTGATGGATTTTATAATAGAAGAATTGAAGTGGGGGGAAAAATCTTATGCCCCAATGTCAAGATCCAACTGTACTTACACCTTCCGGGGAGCTGTCAGGAATCATTTCAGACGGCATTTCAAAAATCAAATCGGCTGATAGTAGAATGGGTAGGGTGCTGCCTTGTACTCGCCAACCCGGGGTTGATCCCCAGCATCCCGTATGGTCCTCCGGCCCTGCCAGTAGTGATCCCTGAACACAGAACCCTGAGCGAGACCCGAACACCAGCAGGTGTGGGGCCCCCATCCACAAAATAGGCAGGTAGTTATGTTGACGCTAAGAAGCTAACTGTGTTTGAGCCTCTCCATCCTGAGTCTGTGTGTGCGTGTGTGTGTGAGTGTGTGCGCGTGCGCGTATACACGCGTGTGCAGGTAAGACTACTCTGCCATTTTCATTTCTGGTATTTAGGCCACATGAAGTGCTTGGCTTGCGTGTTCCTGCTTGATCTCATTCTTGTTTCCATTCTTCCCCGCTTTTTGTTTCTGCAGTCCTTAACTTACTTATTAAGCTTGGCCAAAGAAGAGATGGAGCTGATGTCAGAGGATCGCAGGGCCCTGAGGT